TTCCCTTTAGAATAATACATTTGACTGGAGGTATTCCCCCCCCCCCCGTTTTTTCCTATTTTGCATTTCTTTTTATTTTTGAACTTGTTATACTTTTATTTTATTAAAACATAGAAGATATAATCTTCTATGGGCTGGGAGGGTCTTCTAGTCCAACCCCCTGCTCAAGGCAGGAGACCTGTTGAAAAATCCTAATAAGAACAATAATAAAAAATAATAATTCTACACTCAAAGTTGTATTCACAAATCTAAGAGGGACCCTAGCAAACCAATTTTGAAAAATTGGAAAACCAAAAAGAAAGCACCCCTCCCATCCCCAATTCAGACTTCAACAAGAAACACATTGAATATGGGGCCTGTCACTCACTCACTCACTGTCATAATATTCTTCTGGCTTTTTTAGGTGGAATTATAAAGTGTATAGTTGAAAGGTCAAAGACATGATACTCCTTATTTTTGTATGCTCTTAGGAAGTTTCCTTCTTTCTGCTGTATGATCAGCTGGGTTTCCTGTTTATGTTGGCCAAATGGCAATAAAAGAGACAAGGATATTTAGAAAGGAGCTCATGTTGAAGAATTACAGGACTGGCTGAAGTACTTGAAAGCTGTTTACAAAACTACTATGTTTATTAAATAAAGACTTCAAGTTAAATACTTGATTTAGCTTTCTGTGTAACTTTTCAAGCTCTGATATCTAAAAGTGAGAAAGTAAACTCTACATGGGTATCAGGACTGCATCTAATATCTAAAACTGGGACATCTTTTCAAGGTTGCTAGTTTGACTGTTAAAATGCATGATTGTGTTACATATGTGTATATGTGTACTATATATTCAAGGCAGTCGTGGCTCCTGACAACTGGCTTGATAAGCCTGTTCAGTTTTCTTGCAACATTTTCAGAAATGGCTTTTCACTGCCTTCTTCCTAGGGCTGAGAGAGAGGGACTGGCCCAAAGTCATATAGCAGGCTTCATGCCTAAAGTAGGACTAGAACTCAGAGTCTTCTGATTTCTGGTCTGGTGCTTTTAACTATTACATCAACTAGCTCTTTTTTTTAAATAAAAAAATAGGTTTAGGAAAAGAAGATTGCTTGTAGATTCTTAATAAAATAGAACAAAATAATACCTATATAGAATTCTGCTTAAGTGAATAGGAATTTCTGGAAGGGTCGATTTTTTTTAAAGATTGTTGGCTTCATCTGCCGTTATTTAAAAATCCTGAAATGGTAGTCAATGTTCTATGACACTTATTCATGACATGATATAAAACATGTACTACATATAGTGCCTTGGTACCAAATCATATATTTTTAAGGATTGAAATTTCATAGCTATTAAATTCATAAGTCCAAAATAGATCTAAAATACACAAGTTTCTCTGCGTTATCTGCATTCAATAACTTAATATCCTATCTAGCTTATATGACAAGAAATGCCTAATGATTCATAGCAACATCACACTCCTCTAATTACCAGAAACAATGTCCCTGCAAATTATACCTACTACTTAAGTGGTAATAACCAACACAACTTTCCTGAATACCTTTCTCACCCTAGGAGAGGAGCTGTTCCAAAGAGACGCCATTATAGAGAATACTTGTTTCCAAAAGCCCAGTTGGGTTACAACATGTCCTCTTTGCTAGATTATATTTGGTGAGCAGTTTCTACTTGGAGCAAACAGTCTCAAATATATCCATGTTCCATGCCATAAAGGTCTTTATAGGTAATAATCAGAACTTCATGTTTCACTCAGAGGCCACCAGTGCAACTCTTGCAGTAGAAATATTATATGATGTTAATGGCTCTCATTATCTGATGGTCCGCTTCAGTTTGCAACTTCCAAGTATTTTAAGAGCACCCTCGGTGAAGTAAGATAGAATAGTCTAGTCATGAGGTGACAAATACACGAGTGACTCTTAATAGTGACATCTGGGCCAGGCAATATTGCAACTAGCAGGGCAGCCAAAACTAGTGAAGTCTTTTTTGCCTGCAGATTGTACCTGCTATTGTAAACCCAGAAACACCTCCAGGTATAAGCAGAAGGAGTGCATCACATCCAGAACAGAATAGAATAACAGAGTTGAAAGTCTCAAAGGTGTATTTTTGGACCTGGATGACTGAGAATCTTCATAGACAACAGAGTTGGAAGGGATCTTGGAGGTCTTCTAATCCAACCCCCTGTTCAAGCAGGAGACCCTATACCCGTGGTGGCAAACC